TATATATATATATATATATATATATATATATATATATATATATATGTTGTCCTGATATTATTATAATATATAGATGGAGGATCAAAGAATATGATAAATAGTTCATATAGTAATTATTGAATCCAACAAAGTTTAGTAGTTACAGGAGTAATCGCTTGATATTCATTCTTTGTAAAAGATTTTATAATATAGCGTTGTTTGTTGGAATTCTAAGAGATTTGATTATAACCAAGAAATATGATATAATGTTCTAATATCCTTATTATTTGCACAATCAATATCCATAAATGTATGAAGCAATAGAGAAGAGTTCTTTCAAAGAAATAAGCGATGATCAATAGTGTCCCTTAAGTACCGGAGAAACGTTTATTGGTTGTCTAATGGTTGGAAGTTTGTGCATAAATTAAGATAATTTATTCACTACATATATAAAATGTTCGGACGAGTGAATGTCAAATATTATAAACTGCCAACAACTTGACGATACTCAGTGGTGTCATTGAGATTAGCACTATCAAATAAGATAAGAGGAACACTTATAAAGATTGACATAGTAATAATATTGGCTTCAGGCATTTGGTATGATTAAAAATATCATGAATATACTTATATTGAAAAAGAAATAAAACATTTACTATGTGAATAACTTGAACGCCATAAAAATAGTTGAGGTACCTAAGAGTACTTATTCCTAAGCTATCGAAAGAATTGATTAATTATCAATAATAATTAAGCCATTCATATAAACTAGTAAAAATATAATTATACCCTCATGAGAATAAATGAATAACGAATTATCAAACTGAGAATTATAAAATCTAACTTAGACTAAATGTATTCAAAATTCATGATACCAAGCAAGCCTGCTTGAGATCATAAAAAGCTTTGAAGAAAATTATGATCAATAAAGCCTAGAAATTACCTCATAAATACATCCTCGGAAATATGATCATGAAGAAGTGTATTATTTACGTTCAATTATCGAAGTTTTCAATTGTTATACTGGTTAATATATAAAATATTAACTTCACAACTGGGCTAAAGGTGCCATGTTACTCGAGGCCTATAGGTTTGTAGAATTAGTAAAGTTATTTTGAGACTTTTACCATCACATATAATGATATCATTTGAATCATCGTAATTTAAATGAAAAGATAAATTATTCAAGTCAAACATGACACGATGAGAAGCCCAAGAATCAACAAACCAATTTAACAAAGGTTCAAAGGATTAAGTAGCAAAGTGAGCACACAATAGTACTTAGGTAGTGTAGCAAGATATATAGAATAGAGCGGATATGAAGGATGAAACATTCATGGAATAGTAGCTTATAAGCGATGATATTTCCTAGCAATATGGCATTGTATATCATATATTTGATAAGCGACTTTATTATTGAATTGTTGCGCAGATTTATTAACACATTTGTTGTGGTCTTGTTGAATGTTATTTCTAGAATGATTGTTTAAATAGTTACTTTGTTGATTACGGATCTTGCCTTTTAAAATTAGTTCCGTTAGCAAAATTAACGATGATAAAAGTAATGTAAAAAAGTTGTGGCTCTCACTTACGATAAACTTCATGGTTAAAAATCTTTTCATAGGTTTTTCAAAAGATATAGTACTATTACAAGTATGAATCATTATCAAGATATTCTTGTAATCTGAATCGAGACTATTTAATACATGAAAAATAATATCTTTATCATCAAAATGTGTATTAGACATAGCAAGAGCATTTGCTTGAGTTCTAATAACTTGCATGTAATCATATACATATTATGTGCCCTTAGAAAGCTTAAAGGTAGTTTCTTAAAATTGCATGAGGCAATCACGAGATTGATTGATATATATTATTGCAAGGTTAGGCCATATTTCACGAAAGAATTTTGTAGAGGCTATGTAGGGAATAATTTGATGAGAGAGAGAGATAATGATGGCACTTCTAAGAAGATAATCTTGAGGAATCCAAAAAAGTATATTTAGGATTGATAATTTTCATATTATTCTCTTTAATCATTTATGGTGGATAACTGATAGTGCCATCTACATAACTCATAAGATTATAATCGATTAAAAGAGAATAAAATTAAGTGTATCAAACGGTATAAATTGTGAACATGAGTTTGAGAGGAGCTTGTATTGCAATATTAATATAAATAAGTATTTTCAAGTATAAAGAAGCTAGGAATAATATAAGATTAGTTATTAGTCGAAGAGGTATTATCGATCATGTCGAAAAGTGGAGAAGAAAAGATTGAAAGTAGCTTACAATAAAAAGGGATTTGCTAGAGCATAAAGCTTTGATACCATGAAAGAAATGACTAATTTAAATTTTTATTGATAGTGGGTATGAATTTATATACACAAAGAGATTTTACAAAATATGATAATTACATGATTTTTTCAATCAATAATAAATATAAAATATTTATCTAAATCATTTCATAATATATGAGATCACATTGAGATCATGATCCTCATTATTTAATAGAATCGTGATAATATGTTATCATAATTTTTATGATTTAAAATCATAATAATATATTATCAAAATATTGAGATGATCATGATAATCTTATCATGATTTATTTTTTTAATAATATACTTCCCAATATTTATTTGGGTGTGATTGCAACGAACTAGTAAAGGATTTGAATCATGTTCATCAATTCATTTGCTCATTATTCTATCATTTATTTTCGTAATATCAATCTCATACATACATATTTTTTTACATAATCCATATGTATTTGTTTCTCTCTCATTATTTTCATAACAAAAATGGTTTAGTAGTCTTGTGTTAAAAAAATATAAAAAGAAATTGGTGAGAAAGAACAAGTTTCGTGATTCCATGAGATGATGAGAAAGAATGAATCTACACAAGCCTCGAGAATTTTGATTCATCCAGCAAATTTAGTAGTTTTAGTTAACAGAACACTGAATAAGATAGGGAGTCAAAATAATCGAGGCCATATTAGTCTTGAGGAAATGGTCGATCAGCTCCTCATCCGTAGGGGTAAATTGGTCGTCGTCGTTGTCTTCCAATGCCATTGCTGCCGAGCGAAGTGGAACGAACAAGAAAAGGCGGCGAGAAATAGATAAAAACTGGGCTCGTGAGAAACAAGAAGTAAATAATCGATTGCCAAATCCCAATCGAATTAGGAATCACCGAATGTTTCCTATTTTAAAAAGAGAATTAAGTAAATATTCACTATCAAAGATGCCTTAAGTTGAAATACAGTGTAATTTTGATTTAGAATTAGTTATATGTGTTAATAAAATAGAGTAGCACGGCACGTATTCTCAACTTCTCTTGGCAATTAAGGTGTTAAAGTGTGTAGAGGTAGTCCTTTCCTACTCAAGCCCCCTCACCATGCCCAAATGTTAGGTCGGCTCTGATACCAAATGTCATGACCCGGGCCTGATGGGCTAACTAGCCTATCAACTTCGTTTGATCTAAACCACTGACCAAAATGCTTAAGCTGAAGTTAATAATAGTACACTCATCAGACCCTTATAAGTCAATCTTAATCCTGTCCACTTTCGATGTGGGACTAATCATGGGTGTTACATAAAGTGTGACAGTAACAATGTGCATTTGATTCGAACAAAGTATGAATTGAAGTAAACTCTGATGCATTCATGTGTTCTCTAGACAAGTAAGCTTGCTACAATCCGACAAGTACAGGTTTCTGGATATGATTAATACAAGCATCTCTGTTGCAAACACATTCTGATGGGTTTATCTTCGTATATGCAAATTATCGTGATGTGTAGGAGGGAAAGTAAGTCTCACTATAGTCATCTCAATTAAAAGAGTAGTCAATCACATAGCAAAGTTCTTATCTCGTACTATTCGAAGTGACGAAGCAGCCACCGCCGCTTCCAAAATCTCACAAATCACGAGGAACATTTCGGCTCCGAAGTGAGGCAACTGCATTAGGATTCGTGTTCAACCCCGTGTGGCGATCACCTGTTCTGCTGCCGGTGAAGCCTCCACTCGATGGTTGTTGCCGCTGTCCACGGATCTGTTTCCCTTGCCGGATTCGGCACGAGATCATCTCCTCGTCCTCCTTGTACTGAGGCGGGTACATGCTGGGGTGGAGGCGGTACTCGTGCATCATCCACCCCGTCGCAACCCTTCTGCCCTCCTCGCTCTTGGTCGGATCGTCGATGTCCACAAAGAACTTGAAACTCCTCCGACTCCCTGCGACGGCCCTCCCGTCTACACGTAGTATTTCGTGGGGCTTATCTAGGGCGATCCAAGTTCCGCCGCGAGCCTTCCGCTCCGACCTCTCGTCCCCGGCTTTTTTGGAACGGCACACGCGGACGAAACAGTAGGACTCATGGTCGAGGAACTAGGCGGAGCGAATGTTGAGATCCCAGGGAGCTTTGTCGTAGACGTCGAGCTCTGGTATCACGAAATCGGAGGGGACGGGCAGGAGCAGACTTCGGACCTTGTTGAAGAGGAAATGGCAGACGAGCAGTTCATCCGTCGGCGTGAATCTGTACCCAACCCACATATTGTCCTCCTTCGGCAAGAAACGGTGCGAGGGTTTGAATAAAAGGGAAGGGATTGATGTGGGTTGTTGATGGAGAAGCAACGCCAGTTGGGCGGACGTATTTATAGCCGGATACATAGCATCAGTTCTAATCCGGATTGAAATAGGAAAAGAAGTCCGACTCCGAATCGGAACTCCGAACACGAGTCTTTTATATGGGGATGCCGTTTTTTCGTCACTTCCGATGAAAACACCCTTTGTGCCACCATTCACATCCCCGACCATCGGCACACCGTCACCGTCGCCCGCGGAGCCCTATGGCCCCACTCATGGGGCCCTGCCCTTCCGAACCCGACCGCACCCTCGGTGTTGCCCTCCGTCGCTCCCCCTTCCTCATCCCTGTCTTTGATCGCTCATGGAGCCCTGCCCTTTCGTCCCCGACCGTGCCCTCTGTGTCGCCTCCATCGCTCCCCCTTCCTCATCCCAGATTGCACATGGGGCCCCGCCCTTCCAATCCCGACCGCACCCTCGGCGTCGCCCGCGTCACCCTCCCTCGCTCCCGCTCCCCCTTCCTCATCCTCTGCCCTCCGGTGATGCTGGCGATAGTGGTGAGGAGGGGCAAGGCTACGGTGGTGAAGGCAAAGGGACGACTGGTGGAAGGCGGCGAAGTGGCGACGACGCTGGAAGGCGAAGGGGGGAGCTGGAGGTCCTGGAGGAGGGCGACAGTGTGCTAGTGGTCAGGGGCGGCGCTGGGCGGGGCCGGTGGCGAATGAGTATTTTCGTTCGAGTACGAAAAAGGAGCGCCCCAAGTAAAATCCGACTTTGTTTTTTGGGGGGGGTAAAATGCCTTATATATATATATATAGTATTATTAATATATATATAATTATTTTTTTAAAAATAGCTTTTTTTGGATTTTTTTTATAGAACTCATATTTTTGTTTTTTCAGATGGTACTCCTTTTTTTTATAATTATATATATATATATATATATCTTTTGTTATAATCGATTATTGCTTCCGCCTCACTGGCTATGAAGTGGGTAAGAGAGATGGCGACAAGCTTCTTCTTTAGGCTCCACCGTTGCTCGATCGTTTGCTCAACTAGTTCCACCCACCTGCTTTCGCCCCTAATTGCCATGACGTCGATAAGTAGGAGGGAGGAGGAGGTGACCACGTGGAAGAGGTCTTCCGCGATGAAGGTGGTGGCAACGCTTAAGGGTGGAGCGGTGTGTGGGTTCACATGGGCGGTGCCGATGGGTCGTGCAAGGGAGGAGGAAGGAGAAACCCCCGTTCTAGCCATCTCCTTGCGATCATCAAAGTTAACTAGCGTGATACATCGTGGCGTGCTCGACAAGCAATGACCTATATATATACATATATATATATATATATATTTATATGTATATGTATATATATATATATAACGGGTTCTCTTCAACCTTGAAACCCTTAGGTTTCTCTCATTTCTTCGACCATGGCTGTTCCGCCGACGGCCGCCACCGTCGCGGACGCCGTCTACCAAATTCAGCAAGCGCTCCTTAATGGCGCCGCCCGATCCGAACACCATCTACTCGTCGCCGCCGCCCTCCTGTCCCGGTCCGACTACGAGGACGTCGTCGTGGAGCTATCCATCGCCGACGTCTGCGGCTACCCGCTCTGCCGCAACCCTCTCCCCTCCGACCGCCAAAAGAGGGGCCGGTATCGCATTTCACTCCGCGAGCACAAGGTCTACGACCTCGAGGAGACCTACAAGTACTGCTGTGAGGCTTGCGTCGTCTCTAGTCGCGCCTTCTCGGCGACCCTCAGCAGCGAGAGGAGCTCAGACGTGAGTGCCTCCAAGATTGAAGAGATCCTGGGCTTGTTCCGACGCCAGGAATCATCCGATGGGGATTTGGGGATGGACGGGGATTTGGGGATTTCGAGTTTGACTATTCGGGAGAGGAGCGACGCGGAAAAAGGAGAGGTTTCTCTGGACGAATGGATTGGACCATCTAATGCTATCGAGGGCTATGTTCCTAATTACGACCGCAACCGAGGTGAAATTATACTTCTCTTTCAATCCTTGTTTAGATTGTTTGGTCGTTTCTCTATTGTTAATGGACATGTTAATGCATCTCTTCAAAAAGATTGAGAACATTTGGGATGAATAGATTGTTGTTTACAGACACAACGGACATATTTTATCTTGCTGTGGACAAAGAAACTATCTTTTGATCTCATAAAAACTTTTTTGAATTCTTTTTGTGTGATATTTTGTTTTTTGCGGGTTTTTTCTGTGAACATAGGAGTGAGCATGCGTTCTAATTGCAGGTGGAGTCAAACAGAATCAGAAGCCCAAGAAGAAAGTAGAAGATGCTGCACCTGGTGAAGTTGAATTTGAAAGTGCTGTAATCCTCGAAAATGAGGATGATGGACTTGCTTACTCATCCCGTGGTACAGTAGATGCCTCAGAAGCAATAGCTAAGAAGTTGGAAGAGGTTCTTCTTGAGGAGAAAAAGGCAAAGACAACCAAATCTGCATCAAAATCTTCTAAATCTAAGGCGAGCAAACACTCAAAGAAGAACAAGACACACAAGGTGGAGTTCATGAGCACCATAATTGTTGGTGAGCAGGTTCCTCCTGGGTCATCTGCTGCAGCTCAAAATACTCCAAAGCTGGACTATACTAGTACAACATTTGTTGGTGATAAGGAGTCGCTGATATCAGAATTGGACAGTGGGATTCACATGGAAAGTACAACAGGTTCTCAGAAGGTTGCATATGAATTTGAAAAGAAGGTTTCCATGGACAAGGGGTCTGTGTTGAAATCGTCTCTTAAGACTTCAAGGTCCAAAAATGCTGGTAGGTCTGTCAAATGGGCTGATGAGAGAGAAAACATGGCTCAGGAAGAAAGAAAAGATGACCTTAAAAGTAGTACGAAACCTGAAGAATCACAAGTTGAAGATGACAGCTCTTTAAGATTTGCATCAGCTGAGGCTTGTGCAGCTGCACTTACTCAGGCAGCAGAGGCTGTTGCTTCAGGCATCGCTGAAGCTGGAGATGCAGGTTTGACATACTACTGGAGTTATACCTTGCCTTTTTTATTAGGGTAATATAGATAGATTTTGCCACAGAAAGGTGAAAAAATGAAAGATATGACTGACTAGGATCCTCTCTTTTTTCCCCATCTTTTGCAAAAGCTTCTGAGGCTGGAATTGTTATCTTACCACAACCAAAACGTGTTGATGAGGGGGATGTCGAGGAAGATGAGGATACATTCGAATTTGATAGGGGATATGTCAAGTGGCCTAAGAAGACTGTGCTTCTCGACACAGACATGTTTGATGTTGAAGACTCATGGCATGACACTCCACCTGAAGGTTTCGATTTGAAAGTAAGTTTTTATTTTCTCCTATAATTCCTATAAATTTCCCTTTTCCTTTTAATTAGTGGATTACTTACATAAATTTATAACAATTCTTCTTTCAGTTATCATCATTTGCCACAATGTGGATGGCACTTTTTGGATGGATAACATGTTCTTCTTTGGCTTATATATATGGATGTGACAAAAGTTCACAGGAGGATTTCTTGTATGTTAATGGGAGGGAATACCCTCACAAGATAATCTTGAAAGATGGTCACTCATCTGAGATAAGACGAACTATTGATGGATGTATTTGCCGTGCCTTGTCAGGGCTTGTCATGGAAATTAGTTTGCCAGTTCCACTTTCAACTTTGGAGAGAACTGTGGTATGACGATATTTCTTGTTGTTTCTTCTATGCAGCAATTGATTTCGTTTACTTAAGAAAATTGATCTACACAATCCAAGTTTTTCTGTTTACTTCCTATCCGATTATGGTGGTGTTCTGCTGGGGCAACATGTCAGCTGGGATGGAAAGATGAACTGACAAAAAAAGGGTCAGAGGAAAGTGCAACATAATGCCTATACCAACTCCTAGTTATTCATTTTCAATGAAAGTACCAAAGGTTGTTGCATTCTAGGAGGCTGGATGAGTCAGCATTGACTCTCTACGGCTACAGGAAATGACATCCTAGGTTGTGGAAGTTGTAAATTCATTAAAGAAATCTGATGCTAAAAGCCAACAATAAGCTATAGACAACTTTGTTCAAGATATTTGTAGCATATGCATGGAGATACAAACATTATGTATAAATAAATGTACTATTCTTTTTAGAAAGTTATTCTGTTGTGCACAATTGAGTGAAGATAAAAATAGATTAATTAGTAACAAGATCAAAAAATTCGGAAGATAATCTTGAGACGAGCATAATGAGACATGCAAGACCATGGCCATAGAACAAATTGGTCTCCAAATTGCAGAATTCACCTCTCAAAAGGTTCTGTAACTATTTAGGTTTTACAATGATGGAATGGCACAAGTAGCCTGAAGTAGGTGCCGAGAGAGATTTTGTATCTATATGTACACTTATATCTATACAAGTCTTTCATCAAATCAAACAGAAGCACTTCCATTGCCATAGTAGAATAAGATTTATAAAGGCTACACGAACTCTTCTTTTGGTGTTTTACTTTTTTTCAACAACTTACAGGGGACACATAAAAGGTCTGAACTCTGTTTCTATAAAATTTATTGGAAATAGTGGTGCCATTTTTCATAAAATACCTATTACAATTTAGGGTGGATGAAATCATGATTTCACAATTCAGGATATTGATCTTTTCAATATTATGAATCGTGATTCCTACAAAACTTCTGGATGGGGTTAACTTTTGAAGCAATGCATTAGGCTTGATTTGTCCACCACAGATTGACGGCTTGCACCTCCTTAAATTAACTATGACAGTTTGTCTGCATTGAATCTGCCATTTAGATGATACATGTGCATTCCAATTTGTTTATATTGTGATATGTAAAATGTTTTACAATTTTACCATACTCCACTAAGTCAATTATCTGCTAGTTGCTTAAAGTTTTACAAGTTGCTTAAGTGTAGATTACTTGAACATCTAAATATGAACTTCTGCATAGTAATATGAAGATCTTAACCATTCACCCTTATCATTTTTTTATGATGCTACTATGTTCTTTATTTTTACAGATTACCTGATTGTCTCCAGCAATTTTTTTTCAATGAATAACTTTATGATTGTTGTAATGATAATGTATTATTTCAGGGATGCTTGCTCGATACAATGTCATTTGTAGATGCACTGCCTTCCTTCAAACTCGAGCAATGGCAAGTTGTTGTCCTTTTGTTTCTTGATGCCCTTTCCGTGCACAGACTGCCATCCTTGGCTTCAGAAGTGACAAATATGGATTTGCTGCTACACAAGGTCAAAGACCACTGTCCCACTAATGTTCCTCTCTCTTTTTTGTCCTTTTTCTGTTTATTGCAAGTCAAGCTCTTGCTGATTCTAAGCTTCTTTAACCATGATAAAGCACCACCAGGAGTTGATTAATCAACTAGGTTGCTTTGTATCATTATCTGTTCTTTTGTCATGGAATGTTCTTTGGCTATGAGGACTTCATTTCAAGGAACACATTCAATAGGTGGAAAGATTTTTATTATTTTATTATCTATTTTTGGGGTAATAACTCCACCTGCATTTTTTGGATGGAACAGGTGTTGAATCCTGCCGAGGTTAGCAGCCAGGAGTATGACTCCATGAGAGATCTATTTACTCCATTAGGCAGGTCTTCTGACATTCCAATATAAAGAGGTGGATAATGAAAGCATGGACTCCTTGCAGTGACTCATCATATATCAAATGGCTCTATGTAAAGTGTAGTGGTATTAGTTTCTTGTTGGACCCTCCTCTGGGTAATAGAATTTGATATAATATGACTAGATAATATTGTCCAGCAATCAAAGGACTAGACAATAGAACTCAAGAATCACTCTAGCCCTATAAAAGGGTCATTGGACCTTCATTTTCTTCACACTTATTGTGTGGTTGACTCTCTAGATCTTTGAGTTTTAAAACTATTAAATCTACTTATAAGTCTATCTCAAGTTGGGATGAGCAGAAAATCTATGTCAAGACCTTACAAAATTATGTTGGGAGAGTATCTAAGAGGGTTTTTTTAGTACTCAAGTTAGTTCATGTTTAGAGGATCTCTAGTCAAATGTTGAAATTATAAGATGTAATTTATATTAGAATCTATCATATGCTCAATAATATACCTGTCTGGTCTTTTTGTAGTGTTATACACAATTGATGGATTTGAGATTGTGGTTAATGTCATGAACAGTTACAAGAACCATCCGATCGTGAAGTAGTCATACATCACATCAAACCCGAGGAACATGTGATAATGACTTGTCAGCTTTTCATTGGTGTTGCATGGATTACTATGTGGAGCTAAATCGAACCCCTTGATAGTGTAACATTAAATGCATTGTAAGTCTTGGCCCTATATGACGTATCCATTGAATAAAGTCGAGATGTTCATTAGATAGTAGTGACATGTTAGTTGGATAAAGGTGGCTTGGTGACTAAGTATTAGCCAAATGAAAATGAGGTGTCTGTCATACTCCCTGTAACATTTGTCCCTCCATGGTGTTATAATACGTAGAGCAAGGTCGGGATACAATATAGAATTTATTTGGCTACCAACTACTGAATTTTGGTTAAGAATCACGAGGTTGATCTGGTTGTGTTGTTGTAGTAGGATGTTTATTGTATGGATTGATCATATTGTGTGCCTTTACGATTAACTTGACCATGTCAATTGCATTGTCATCGTAATAGAATGCTTGCTTTTACGACTGATTCAATAATGTTATTATAGTAGAGCGCTTTTTGACCATGCTATCATCCTAGTGAAATGCTTCGTGACCGATTTGATTGTGTTTTAACTTTCGACAACTCATGTTGTGCATGTACAAACCCTCGTGGCAATTTATTAAGTCAAATTTTGTTTGCTCAATATGGATGGAGATTGCATACCACAATAAGGCCCCTTTAATACTTAAGTTTGTTTGAGTTCAGAGAATTCAATTAAATGTCGAATCTATAAGATGTAATTTGTATCAAAATTTATCTTATTAATAACACACATGAGAGGCCTTTTAAAGTGTGATATATGACCATTGGGTTCGGGATCATAATTAATGTCAAGAATAGTTACACATACTAGCTAGATAAAGGTAGTGTGACAACTAGTTGTTGGCTTGATAGAGGAGATGAAGTATGAGCAACCATCCACTTGTCATAATTTCTATATCAAGAACCTTCAGTGAACTTCCAAACCCTTTCATAGAAGGTATGGATCATTAGTTGCTTTTCCTCCCTTGGTTCATGTCAATCCTTTCATAGAAGGTATGGATCATTAGTTGCTTATCCTCCCTTGGATCATGTCAATCCCATATTGACATTGACTGATGCTTCATAGTATAATTTTTTCGTATCATTGTTAGAGGTTTCTTTATAATTGGATTTGATTATACTGTTATCTAATGATATTTTATGATTAAATTCGATCGTATAATTATTGAGAAGATGTTTTCTACGTGCTATGTGAGTTATGTGTGTAACTAGTCACTATCAGCTTGGGTACTAACTTGCCTAATGGGCATTGCAACTATTTTTACATCCCTTATCAACAAGGAATGCTCTATATCAACATTTAGTCAAATCATCATGCATATGAAGAGATTGCACTCCTGATGATCAATCATTAATGGCTTCATTGTCACTTTTCCAATTGAACCATCGAACAATCAATAAGGCTCGGTAGTTAAATTCAAAGATCACTTGGTTCCTATAAAAGGAGTTGTCTAAGCTTCATTTTCTATATGCTTCGATGAGATTAAATCTCTAGACCTTTTAGTTTTTGAACCTTGCATGAACTTCTAAAGCTTAAGGTCTAGATGTCATATTTATCATCTTCTTTTTCTTCTTTGGAATTAGATTAATCACTGATTCTTCTTCCACTTAGTCTTATCAACCCTACATCAATGTCGAATAATGCTTCCTGGTTGGATTTCACCGTATAAGATTCTCTATTGTTAGATTTGATCATACTATCATAGAATGATACCTCATGACCATATTTGATCACCATTATCATTGAGGAGATGTTTTCTACACATGTCTTATCATTATGCAAATCACATGTGCAACTAATCATCGTCACCTTAGGGCATTGGCTTGCGTAATGAGCAATATAGTGGTTCTATAATTATCCTTTTGAGTTCTTCATAAGTGTAACCTGGCTCCCTTGATTACAATGTTTGATATGATTTAATTTAATTTATAAAGATTCATGAATAGTTTATTTTGCTTATAGCTAATTAGGAAAGTTGTATGACAGCATTCAAAAAAATGATCGGGATACGAGGAGATTGCAATCTTAATCATCAATCCTATCGTTTTTCTAATTGAATCGTAAAATATTAAATGGCCTGACAATAGAACTCAAGGATCACCCAACTCTTATTAAAGGGGATCATTCATTCTTTATTTTCTTTACACTTATTATATAGTTGACCGTCGATACCTTGAGTTTTAGAATAACCGATCTTATTACTAATTATTTCTTATCCCTTGGTCTCTATTAGCCTCACATCATTATTGAATGATATTTTTTTATCAGATTTAACTGCATCATTATTAGAGGACTCTTCGTGATTGAATTTGGTCATCGAATAAAGTTTTGAATGATTTCATAAAGTTTTGTCACAATCAGATTATGACATGTTGGGCCCTCATAAAGTTTTGTCACAATCAGATTAAAGTTTTGTCACAATCAGATTAAATCCAACTAAAGTCTAACTTATGAGATTGTCACAAGTTATTCTGATGACATACTCAACAAAGGTCCAATAATACTGAAGTTAATTGGGTTGGAGGATTCAATAGCCTGATAGTGGGCTATGAATCACTACTAAAATTAAGTGGATAATTAATTTACAAGATGATTAAGTAGAATCATCAGTCATTATTTAATCGTGAAGATGTATGTCCAATCATTGAACATTATAGTTATAGTACAATGACTCATGATGAAGTTAATTCTCAATGAAGGGCATTAATGATAATTGAAAATAGATATCAGGTTTATAGGATGGCATGTTTGCAATTGCCCACATGTCACTTCCCCTTATCAAAGTGTAAAGGATGCTTTATAGTGACATTTTATTAGATCAAGACTAAAATACTTTATAATTAAATTTAATCATGTCAAAAAATAATAATATTTTATTTTCTCAAAAAGTAATGAGAGACAAAGATTTAGAGACATCTCTTCATTTTTGAATAAAAGGAAAAGGAGAGTCTTACCAAAAGAAATAAATTATTTAAAAAATTAAATTAATTATGAGTTAATTAGTTAATCTTTTGCCTATATTTTTAGACAATTAAGTAAAGTTCAATTAATTTCTTAATTTAAATAAAAAAATAACTAATATATTAATCCAAACAAGGCAAAAACCCTAATTAGAATAAGAACAAATAAATTTTTAGTTTCAAATTAATTAATTACATGTCTAACTTGTCGTTATGATTAAAGACGTAGGAACCAATTAGCCATGTTTTCTTTACTTAGGTTCTTCTTGATCTACAAAACATATTAATTCAAATAAGGCAAAACCTCTACGTGTGAAAATGTTTATTTTTTTACCAAAAAAAAAAAAAGTCAACCTCGGATAAATAAATAAATAAATAAATAAACATCTCAAGAATTTAATCGACACAAAATCCATAGTATAAAGGACGACAAAACAATAAAGTTTTGTCGACAGGTATTAATTAACGAACAACAAGTAATCGACGGTTTGGCGTGGCCGCACGGCTTCAACATCTCATCCACACCGCACGTTACGCCGAACCCGATCCCACGGTCTACTGACCCTGATCTGGGTTCATCGGACGGTTGTCGCTCTTCCGAGGCCCTTTATTTAATCTTGCGACCGCGATGATGGGCGGAATACCGTTTCGAAATCGCCCGGCTCCAACCCGTCTCCTCTTCCCTCTCGTGTCGCTCCCTGTTCTCCTTCCTCTCTCTTGGGAAAGCGCTGAGGACTTGTCCTAAGGTTGGTCGATCGCTTCTTCTTCGTATTCCTATGCGCGTGCTACTGATCACCGTCTTTTTATCTCAAACTTGGTGGATTTTTAGTTTTTTCCTGTGTTCGATTTTAGGATCTAGTTGCTCGAGTGTGTGAGTTCGAACATGATTGTAATGGTAAATTGTGGATCGAGCGTGTTCAAAGATTAGTGGACGGACACATTGTTGAGAAGATTAATGTCCAAAATCTGAATGATTTATGATCCGTTTCAAACGCTCAATCTTGAGAAGCTGATCTCGATCCATGGTTTGCTGATAGTGATTGGAAAATTGACCCAAAAAACGAACGATACAAATAATCGAGGTTCTAAGGTTATTAGGAAACGCAGGAGATCACATGAGAAGTAATCTGTCCATTTGATCTCGAATTGACCAGGCTATTTTTCTTGTTAAAGCACATGAATGAGGGATACTCGATCGGCTAAATGTTTGTAGGAGGACTTGTACTAAATACATGGAAGATGTTATACTATGTCTTCTAATTGCTATGCTATGAATTGGCTTCTCAGGTTCCCTGAAGATGGATACTGACGGTCTGACTATTGTTTGTGACAATGGCACTGGAATGGTCAAGGTCAGACATTCGATTCTTCCTCTCCTATGTTCCAATCGATCGATTACTGTTGGAGTAGATCATGTTGCCAAAACCGCAGGCTGGTTTTGCTGGAGATGATGCACCCAGGAGCGTGTTCCCTAGCATCGTCGGGCAACCTCGTCACACCAGTGTCATGATTGGGATGAACAATAAAAATATTTATATTGGTTCTGAGGCTCAATCCAAGAGGGGTATGCTAACCCTGTCATACCCTATCGAGCACGGCATCGTCAACAACTGGGACAACATGGAGAAGATCTGGCATCACACCTTCCACAACGAGCTCCGTGTGGCCCCCGAGGAGCACCCTGTGCTGCTCACTGAAGCCCCTCTCAACCCCAAGGCTAACAGAGAGAAGATGACCGAGATCATGTTTGATACCTTCGATGTTCCGGCCATGTACGTGGCAATTCAGGCTGTTCTCTCCCTTTATGCCAGTGGTCGCACGACCGGTAATGCCCTGCTTTGACTTAGATCGAGCATTGAAGTCTCAGGCATCTTCTTTACATGATGATCTGTGGCATCTGTTGACAGGTATTGTGCTGGATTCTGGTGATGGTGTGAGCCATGCTGTCCCGATTTATGAAGGATATGCCCTCCCTCATGCCATCTCTCGTGTGAACCTAGCTGGTCGTCATCTCACTGATGCCTTGATGACGATCCTTACAGAAAGAGGCTATTCCTTCACTACCACCGCTGAGCGTGAAATTGTTAGGGACATCAAAGAGAAGCTTGCATATGTTGCCCTGGATTATGCGAATGAACTAGAGGAAGCTAACAGCAGTTCCGTTCTTGAGAAGAGCTACGAGCTGCCGGATGGACAGGTGATCACCATTGGTGCAGAGAGGTTCAGGTGCCCGGAGGTGCTCTTCCAGCCATCACTGATCGGTATGGAAGCTGATGGGATCCATTTGCTCACTTACAATTCCATCATGAAGTGTGATGTGGATATTAGGAGGGATCTCTACGGAAGCATCGTTCTCAGCGGAGGCACAAGCTTGTTCCCTGGAATCGATGATCGCATGACCAAGGAGGTCAGTGCCCTCGCCCCAAAGAGTATGAAGATTAAGGTCGTCGCCCCTCCTGAACGCAAGTATAGTGTCTGGATTGGTGGCTCCGTCCTCGCCTCCATCAGCAGTTTCGAACAGGTAACGATGGACAAGTGACCTATTTGTTATTATTATTGTTATCTCATGCATGTCTACATCTTGCAATTACTTTTCCTATTTTTTTGTGAATGATCCAACTCCAGTTTATGCATTCTAATAATGTGTTTTTTTCCTTCCTTTTCTTGCATTGAAAACAGTCGTGGATTTCAAAGGAGGAGTACCAAGAAGACGGCCCTTCCATTGTCCACAGGAAGTGCTTCTGAGTCTCATCCGGAAGAGCTTGTGATCAGATTGAAGTGGTTGTATTGGGGGTATTTTGGATTTTCTTGAGCTGTATACTTTAGATTCTATAATGTAATTGATGTGTTCACTTCAAGCAATATTTATATTCAACTCACATATGCAATATCAATTGATTAATACATTATTGCACATTCAAATACAGGTGTAATCTTATAAGCCATTTAATATATAAAAATATTTTTAATTAAGAAAAAACTCTCATTAAAGTTAAATTTATCGGTTGGGTCGAAGCCTTATTCGTTATAAAAAAAAATTATTATTAATAAATTTTAATTTTAAATCTTATTTTTTGGGTATTTTAAATATAATATTCACTGCATGATAATTATCAGGATAATGGATAATTTTCTAAATTTTAATTTTAGAAATCATGCTGCAAGTCACAATAAATCCCAGCAAATCCCGTGCGAAATGGGGCCCGAACGAAGAACAGGTACCAGAGAAAGAGAAAGATGGTGATGCCGACAAAACCGCGGATGGCCACGAAAACCAGGGATCAATTGCCGAAACCAGCGCTCGGTTTTAGACCGACGCGATTCCCACGTACGCCACTCCCGCCCATAACCTGAACCTTCATCCATTGCAAAGATTGAGAGCCTGGCTACTCGATACACCCTTTTTGTCTCATTCGCGGGTACAGGATAATAATATACATACAGCAGACTACTGTATTCCAAAACCGGGTCCTGGTTTCGCCGTTGTATGAGGCTGCCACGCGACGGCGGAAAATATTGGGAACGTAATCAAGGAACGAACTCTGTCTCTCTCTCTCTCTTCGCTATGCTAGTTAACAGCCGGCTATAAGTAGCCCTGTCGCTGGTCTTTCCAAATTCAAGTGTACCGAAGAGAAAGATCGAAGAGAGAGAGAGAGAAGGAGCGGAAGAGATGTCGAGCACGGCTGGTCAGGTCATCAAATGCAGAGGTTGGCCTTTGATCGTTGTGTTCTTTTTGCCTTGTTTAGTTCCGATTAATCTTGTGATGCTAATGGAATCTGGATTCGATGGTTGGGTTGTTGCTCAGCCGCGGTGTCTTGGGAGGCCGGGAAGCCATTAGTGATCGAAGAGGTCGAGGTGGCGCCTCCCAAGGCCATGGAGGTTCGGCTCAAGATCCTGTACACTTCTCTTTGCCACACTGATGTCTACTTCTGGGAAGCGAAGGGCCAGACTCCTGTGTTTCCTCGGATCTTTGGCCATGAAGCTGGAGGGTATGGATCATCTCGTCTCAGCTAGAAAGCTGTGTTAGCTTTTGTCTACTGAAACACAATTTCGTTACCTTTGTTCTTGTTTGGTGCTCTTAGAATTGTGGAGAGCGTGGGGGAGGGTGTCACCGATCTAGCTCCGGGGGACCACGTCCTCCCTATTTTCACGGGAGAATGCAGGGAATGTGCTCACTGCAAGTCCGAAGACAGCAACATGTGCGATCTCCTCAGAATAAACACAGACAGAGGAGTGATGATTAGTGATGGGCAGTCGAGGTTCTCCATCAACGGTAAGCCCATCTACCATTTCTTGGGAACCTCCACCTTCAGCGAGTACACGGTCCTCCATGTCGGATGCGTCGCCAAAATCAACCCCGCAGCTCCGCTCGATAAAGTCTGTGTTATCAGCTGCGGTATATCGACAGGTGAGTCTCGCCGACACCTAACGAACCATACAGATGGATGTTGAGGACAACAGAGTGACTGATCTTGTTGATTTCTTGTAGGTTATGGTGCTACTGTCAATGTGGCAAGGCCACCAAAAGGCTCAACAGTGGCTGTTTTCGGCCTTGGAGCTGTAGGCCTTGCAGTGAGTCTCTCTTTTCCTCTCATTATGTTGTTCTGTAAGCCTTTAATGAAAATATTATTTTAGTTTGTGACATTGTAACTTCTATTCAATTAGGCTGCTGAAGGGGCAAGGGCCTCAGGGGCATCAAGGATTATTGGTGTTGATCTTAACCCTAAGAGATTTGAGGAAGGTGGGATTAATGAACTGTTACCTCACTTGAGTCTATTTCTATGTTTGGATCTTCTCACTATTTTTGTTTGTGCTTATCAAGCTATTTGTGTTCTAACTTCATTTTGTTTTATCACCAGCTAAGAAGTTTGGCGTGACTGAGTTTGTGAATCCTGCAGACCATAAGAAACCTGTTCAAGAGGTTTGTTCCTGAGGCTCACAATTTAATTCTTCTGTAGTTGCTATCAAATATCTCATTTTGTCATGATCTCATTGTGCAAAGCCCCTCATGTTCAAGTATGATCCACATGCTATTCACCAAGAACATATACCATATCAGTCCAAGCAAATGCATAGTCCTTATTTTGGTAGTGGGTTAGTTGGTGATCAATGGGATGGATACCACATTTCATCTCCTCCATTTGCCACCACACATATTTCCAAATGGAAGAAAGCTGCTAACTACTAAGCATGTGTGACATTGTATTTGTATTTCAATAAATGTATCACCTGTGTTTCCCATGATGAATGTATCACTTTTGCAGGTGCTTGCCGAAATGACTAATGGTGGAGTTGATCGGAGCGTTGAATGCACTGGCAACATAAACGCCATGATATCTGCATTTGAGTGTGTTCATGATGTACTTCTCTTGCCCCGTGAACTTGCTTTTCAGAAATCTAATATACGGCAATGTCTCATAATTCTGAAGGTTGTCATCTTACAGGGTTGGGGAGTTGCTGTACTTGTCGGGGTGCCTCACAAAGATGCTGAATTCAAGACACACCCTGTGAACTTCCTTAACGAAAGAACCCTAAAAGGAACCTTCTTTGGGAACTATAAGCCACGTACAGATATCCCCGGGGTAGTCGAGAAGTATATGAACAAGGTAAATGAGGTGTAGACCGAGTTTGATATAGAGTTGAGCTTAATGTGATCTGATGGTCCCTCCGTAATAAGTAATTCTTGGCACGCTCTGATGTTGCAGGAGCTGGAATTGGATAAGTTCATTACGCATTCCGTGCCGTTCTCTGAGATCAACAAGGCTTTTGACCTCATGCTCAAGGGGGAGAGCCTCCGCTGTATCATTCGAATGGATGGCTAGACGAGTTACTGCATTGCTAAACCAGTAAAAAATAAGTCTCTCTTGCAGTCTAATTATGTGGTATATGGGATTAGTACTTTTTTTATGTTTCTTCAAGATCTTGACTTGACAGCCGCTGTTTGCAGCTTATAATAAAGATAATGGCTCACTTGTGTTTTTTTTCGCAAGTTTGATTCAATATATTTACATTTTGTTCTGTGTGACCAAATGATTTGGTTTAAATTTAGCTACTGATATAATTGTTTGTGTTTGAATTTTGATATCATGAAATTTAAGGGTATCGACATCTTTGTCATGCCTATTCAACACAATTATTAGTGACTGATATAAGTATACTTCTCGTGTATTTTAATTTTAAGATTCATTTTGGTTATGGATCATTTAAGTTTTTATATTTTATTCTATTTAAAATAATTAATATATTTTAAAAAATATAATATATAAACATTTTATATTATTTACGTATTTATAATAAATTATTAATATAATAATATATATAATTTAAATTTAATAAAAAATTATTTTAATCTTTGTGATTTTGATTATATATCATTTAAACTCTTATGGTTTTAAATGTGTTTAAAATAATTCATATATTTTTTAAAAATAAAATATATAAGTCTTTCCAAAGAGTTAACAGATATTGTAATCTACTTATATGACATATTGATTCATAATAAATTATTAATATAATAATATATATAATTTAAATTAAAAAAATTATTATCAATGACAGGAGGAAGTTATTAGAAAATCTGGATTGTACAACGCTTCTCAAATGATCAATAGATGACTAGTTTATGTCAGCTTTTAGTCTCTCATACAAATTATTTTGTTAGATACTGAATCTTTATCCAATTATTCAAGTATCTTAGATCTTTAATCAATAATTTCTATTTACTCTTACTTTGATATCATCTAAATGATCCAATAATTCATTAGCTTATTGGATATATAATAAGATATGAGCTCTAGCGGATATCTCATATATGTGTGTGACCCTCTATGCCCAATATTAGCCAAGAGTCATACCCATCAGAACTCCTTCTAACCCAGTGAATTTTTATTTTCATAATAATTCACTTAATTTATCAACTATGGATATACTAGGTCATTATGTTATAGTCTCTAAACGATACAAGGGGATCCAATCCATTGGACCTCTATAGTCCCTCATTCATTTAATATCCTATAAACTATATATCGGTCATAGTACTCAGGCTCATATAGAATTTACTCGAATCTCGTTTTAATTAAATATCTTCGAAGAATTTTTTTCTTTCTCAATATAAATAATAATCATTTAGTATTCGTGGATTAATTAGTAAACTCATTCTCTCTTATGTCCTCATCCATTGTGTTTGTGACGTGATGGTCCAACTCTCCCTCACCTCTGTCTCCGACCTCTCATTTTTCTCGATAAGATAGATATTTTTTAAATTTAAATTATATATATTATTATATTAATAATTTATTTTAAGTCAGCATATTATGTAAACGGATTTTAACGTCTGTTAACTTAAATTTGATCGGAGGATTTATATATTATGTTTTTAAAAATATAAGGATTATTTTAGATATAAATAAAACCATAAAACTTAAGCGATCGATGGCCAAAATAATAAAGATTAAAATATTTTTTTAAAAAAAATTAAAATTATATATATTATTATATAAATAATTTATTATGAATCAACGATATTAACTATTGTTAACTTAAATTTAGACTTGATAAAAGAGTTTATATATTATTTTTTAAATATATAAAGATTATTTTAAGCATGATTAAATCTTAAGTGATCCATTATCAAAATGCTAAAATGAATCTTTAACTTTATATTTTATTTTATGCAGGATGTGCACGTGGAATAGATATAGTTCATAAGCTGGTTGACTGCATAAATAAAAAACATGTTGGAATCCCATCAAAAGGAGACATCCTACTACTGTTGAAACAGTCGATCTGACTAAGCATCATAGATGTATCAGTTATCAATTCCGAATCTCCATGTGACCACATAATATGTCTGGAATAAAATATTATACTCAAGCAAAATGCTCAACGTGTTCTCTACGTTACGACATAGTTGGCGACACGAGGAGGTGGTGCACTGTCACGTTATTGGATTCGGTTCTCCACAGCGCAGGAAACAGAGAGCCTTGTGTCGTGTCTCCAGATTCGAGCGAGCGATCAAGCTTACGAAAGGCATCGGAATATTCCGTAACACTCCTATGGTGTCGATGCACGTGTCCATCGTCTCGTGTCCGGTCTCTCGGCTAAGACACAGAGCTGCACCATGGCGTCGGTGTACGTGTCCCGACGCGCCTACGGCGATCCTGTCCAAACGTCCAATCGTGCTGTCCCGCTGTCCATTAACGGACGATGAGGTTTCGTCAGTTTCCCATCATGAATTTGTTATGGGGTGACCAAAACGTCAGCTTTCGATTCCCGAACCACCGTCAAATTTAAAATCGAAACCAAATTAATTTCAGATAATTTTAATTCTAGAATCGTTGATTGCAGTTTCCAAATGAAACCCACTCGTTTAATTTCGATTTTGATTATAAAAAAACAAAATATTCCATCAAATTCACACACTAGTCAATAAACTTTGAATTAAAATATCCATATTCATACACATTATCTTCGATTTGGTTCAAAATTATTAAATTATTGATTTGATTCGATTTTGGATTGAACGAAATGGTGATCACCTCCAATTGTCATGTGAATGTAGTTTTATTATATCTAATCTATGGAATTGGCAGCAGTCTCATAGTAAAAATATCATCCAACCTGTTATAAACCTCAGATTCTGCAAAGATTCACTATCCACAATTATGATGCTGATAAGTCAAAGCGTATACAAATTATTTCTTGTAATTTTATAATTACTATTTCTACTAACTCGGTTTCTTTACTTTCAAAAGTTATATTATAATTTTTATACTTATAAAAGTAAAATATTTATTCATTTTTTTCTTTACACTATCGACTTAGCTAACATAAATATTATACATACTATCATGTGAGAAAAATAATATTAAAATAGCATTTTAAAAAAATAATTTTTTAGTGCTATTATCATCATCCAAAAAAAAAAAAAAGAGCGAGAGGTTTTATTGGGAAACAAAGTGAGACATTCAGCAAAAATGATCTCTCTTGCGATCCTGTCTCTTCCTTATATGTTAGAAATTACAGAAGGAGAAATTAATATTTATGAGAATTGGATTATAAAATTATTTTTTAATTATATTTTAATATTATTTTTTATATATGACAACACATATAGTATTTTTATCATCAGAATCAACGACGTGAGAAGAAATGAGCTTAAATGCTTCACTTTTATAAGTATAAGGATTATAATGTAACTCTTAAAAATATATGGGTTGAGATGTTAAACATAATTAACTATAGGGGATAATATATAATTAATCAAATATCTATATTTCGTTGAATGAATAAAGAGTGATTTCTCCTGCACAAATTTAAGATATGCCTGCTTCATTAATAAGGATAAGCTCATCCTTCTACAGGGCTTTCTTGTTGCTATCGAAGGAAAGCTTTTCGCTTTTGAGCTGATGAGTTGGATTAGCAGTCTGTAGGAAGATTACTTGTTGAAAAGATTATAAAGAAATTGAGGATTTAGTAGAACTATAAATATCTACCATTGTTCTTTCTAAAGAGAAGAGAGGAAGATGGAATGAATATCAAATTCAAGCCTAAATTTCTCTCTCTCACTCTCATATAAAAGAGAAGCAAAGGAACAAAACTCTCTCTGTCATCTTGTTCATGTACTCATGATGAATGTCTGCACCAGGACGAAGACCCATTGCTGCTGAGTTGCAGGCATGGCGAGGGGGAAACGTCATAGGCTTCTCCTGCAACGAATTCGCAGTGCCATTTGGGTTCACGGCCTGTTACAGACAAGCTGAAATTTCTGATGCAGACATCTTCATAGACCGCGCCCTCGATGCCCTCCAAAACTGGAGCTTTATCTACATCAAACCCTACGACATTGCTTATACGGACACCTTTAACTCTGGGGAAAGCCTTTGGATCCCATCCCTCATCAGGGTGGTCATTGGATCCCCTGCTGAATCTTATAGGAATCTTAACTCTTTCCATTGTCACGTTGGTCACAGTGACATCGGTTATGTATCCTCCTCGGCCGACGTCGGTCTTCAATCGCACAGCAGCCGCAGAATCCCAGACATGCAGGTCTTCCACCACCACGTTGCTTACACCCCCAGACATTTCACTGCCGATTCCGACACCGGAGCAAGTTGGAGTTGTTCCTGAGACCCTTCGGATGACTATGTTTGAGCTAGGATGAGCCATGGCGATGCCATAATGATCCCAGCCACTCTTCACAGCGACGAGATCGTCCCCGCTCTCTATGTAACAGTCCTCTATGCAGACATGTGAACTTGAATCTGGAATCACAAAGGCCGGAAACAAGATGAATTAGCATCTACTGAGAGATCCTTTGAATGGATTAACTGATAAGCCAAGATACCCGGATCAATCCCATCGGTATTTGGAGAATGAAGTGGCGCCAAAACTGTGAGATTCTTTAACACCACATTACTGAAAGAAGATGAAGTTTTCTTGTGAGAGAAAAGTATCTGAAAGCAGCCATGAAAACCGATGTACCGAAGGCTGACCTGCAATAAACTGGGTGTATTGTCCAAAATGGAGAGTTGAGGAAGGTTAGGTTGGAGATGAGAATGTTCTCTGAGTTCACCAACTCAAGCAGGTGACCCCTTGTGTGCTTCAGGGTTCTATTCCACCATAAGTCCCACCACATTTTGCCTTGGCCATCAATGCTCCCATTCTGCCCTGCAACAGAGTATGGCGTTCAGCATTTCTTCTCTTCTAGACAAAAACAGGTTCTTTAACATTTGGTATGCAATGTTGCATATGCTTGTCGATCTCATCACTTTGTTTTCTGAACCAAATGTGTGGTTATTCATGCATCAGAGAGAGAGAGAGAGAGAGACCGGTAATGATGACGTCGCTGAGGCCCTCCCCATGAATGAGGCTAATATGGCGTCCCCCCAGTCTCTCTCTCCCACGCCCATATGATGGCAATGGCTCTATTACTGGCCACTCCTCCGGATCCTACACAATGGGTTACACAAAGATCTTTAAAATGGTCTCGGATCTTTTTGATATGATATCTAAGGAAGGCAAGAAGCTTTAATACTCAAAGCATCCAAGAAAATTGGAGCTCTTCATATCCTTGACATGATGATTGGATCAAATGTTGGTCCATGTTGAAGTGCCTGAAACCTAATAGAATCGTGGTTTTGATGTACCTGAGAGCCCAGAATGATCGCATCCTTCTCCAAGAAGAGGGTTAAGTTGCTGGTGAGATTAAAGCTACCGGTCAGCCACCTCCCAGGAGGGACATTAAGCTGAGCGCCGCCCTTGTCTCCGAACTCCCCGAGACGACGCACGGCCCGCCGAAACGCCTCGGTGTTCGAAGTCCTACCGTCGCCCACCCCACCGAACTCCTCGATGGAGAAGACAACACTCCTAGGCCCGACGGGGCGGTAGAACTCCACGCAACTCCTCCTCCCGGAGACGGCAACATCGTCCTTGGCCGTGGCTGGGGCGGCCGCCGGGGCCACAGCCACCCAGGCCGGGGTAGACTGGAGCGATGACCATCCCAACAAGGCTATGGCTCCGAGGAGCAGCACCACCGAAGGCCGCCTCAGGCCGTCCTGCCACCGGTGCCAGCGCCACAGACATGGATGCTTCTCTTGGACGTCCATCTGTCCGCTATACTTCCATCATCGAGGCTTCACGGAGGAAGTCGTAACGAGGCGTGAGCATGGCGAGGAACGCGTGATCCGTTAAGTCCGGTGACGCTTTGGCGCGCATGGCAAGTTCCAGCCCGCGCTCACGTGTTTGTGCTTCGGTGACAGCTGGCAATTTTAATTGGAATGGGAATCCTACTCTATGCAGGCTTGCCTTCGTAGGAATGCCATAAAACTGTCTCCCATTCATCCCCTCTTCTCTTCTCATCTTAATTCCTCCTTTTATTTTTATCAAATTAATATTTATAATAATAATAATAATAATAATAATAATAATAATAATAATAATAATAAGATCTCCTTTTCCCTATGGTTGTGTTACCAACATATTGCATATATTAATGTACTATGGATATTTAATATTGTCTAAATAAAAAGATTAAAAGTGGTGTCCCCTATGGAAGCACCCAAATGGCATCGCGGGCCGGGATCCGACTCACGCACGGAAGAAGCCCATTGCTCGCTGCTTCAGCGTCCTCATCCAGACCGCCTCCTGTGCTCTGCCTCCCTCTCTCGAAGCCCAAACCCTACCGCCGTCACCTGTTCGCCCCCCTGTGTCGCCCCCTTGCTCCTCGATCCTCACCGGGCCCGTCCTCCTCCTACCGCACCGGATTTTCGTCTCCCGTGTCTTCCATGTCTTCGTCCTCCTACGAGAAGGAACTCGCCGCCGCCAAGAAGGCGGCGTCCCTCGCCGCCCGCCTCTGCCAGGTGCGTGGGTCGGATGGATGGAATTGGAAATTCTTGCAGTTATATTTGTGTTGATTTCCCTGGTCATACCAGTTTGGACGCTAGTAGAGGGAAAACGATCTCGCCATGTGGCTCCGAGTTGATGCTGTAGTAGCGTCTTTAGAGACTGTTTTGGACTTGTTTTCCCTTGCTAACAGAGCTATCGTACGAAAATTACAGTTTGGAGGTGTTGGGGTCATAGCTAATAAATTTCGGGACTGCATTGCAAGACATATGATATAACAATCTTGGAGTACTTTGCGACAATCTTTGTGCATTGTGTTAGCTGGCTTCGTAGTTAAAATTTTTTCTAGAAATTTAGGTTTTTTAAGCGTGCTTTTTTGGTCAAAATTACACGCTAGTGGTGATTGTACTAAATTTTCCGGGTAAAAGGGTTTAGGCCGTAGTTATGGATGCAGGGGCATTGGACGAGTTTCCGGTCCTTCCGCATGAACTGAGAAATCCATGTATCGATATGTTCATCTAACCTAAGTGGTACTTGATGCTCCACTGCTGTCATTCAAAGAAAAAAGGAATGAGCCTCACAGAAACAAATAGCTTGGATTAATAAGTCTTTATGTTAAGGTTTCTGGTCTATTGGTTAAATGGATACTAAAAATGGCAGATTATTGATTCACCCTTTGTCTACATAACATATTGAGGTTTGGTATATGCCTTGTCCTTGTTTCATTGATTTATTATAATTTAGATGTTCTGCTTCCTGCATTGTTGTTGAAGATTGTGAATATGCTTTGTTTTACTTTGCAGACAGTACAAAAGGCACTCTTGAAATCAGATATTCAATCAAAAGCAGATAAAAGTCCTGTTACAGTCGCAGATTATGGTACAATCTCATCAAATATTCTCTTCTTGGCACTATATGCTGGGAAAATAACCAATATTTGCTAAAAAAAATAAACGTCTTTTGTGAGATTCTACAGGTTGTCATGATTAAACATATGATGGTTGTAGATATTTTATGCTGGTGTTGTTTTATAGTGCCACATTTTCTGAGTCGATATTTCTATTTTTTATTACGTCCATGTAGTTAGATGATAACACATGGCAATACAAAAAATTTCTACTGCAAATTTTTTTTTTGCTAATAGATATGCTTGTATTATTTCTTTCGGATACAGACTATTCCGGAAAATAAGGAGCATGTTCGGTATTGTCCCTATTTTTTTAAACTTTATGCCAAAAATAATTAAGGGGTCCTACCTTCATTAGAGTCTGGATGTACCCGTTAGAATAAACATAATTAAGAAATCATTTGAAAAAATAAGCTCATCTCTGACAGTCACTTACTTGTATGGTCATGAATCTCCTGCCTCTGTTATATGAAAGAGAAATAATAGCCACTATTTTCCAGTTCGTTGTCTGGCAAAATATTGTTTGGAGTAGCACCTCCCTGGCAAAATATAGTCACCTTCAGTTCCAGTATGCTGTGGACATCTCGTGAAAAGATAATTATTTATTCATATAATACTGCTTTTGGAGTAGCACCTCCCTGCTTATATTGCTGGTGTCTAATAATGGTTCCATTGCCATTACAACAATCAAGGAACAGCTGTTTCTCCAGACTGTAGTAGCCAATTAATTGAATTTACAGCATACTCTTGCCTTGATGTTATCACTGGTTGTTGGATGAATATACCACAATAAGCTGTCCTCAAGATCATCAAATCAGATGTTAAATTGTTGTGAAGATTTCCATCTTGAACCATCATGTTCTTTCGTACTGTTTGTAAGCAATATAATTGAGTTAATGATTGAGGAATCCCTAAAGCTGGACAGAATGGGGATCATTGGAACATTATAATCAGTATATTCCTCCTACCAACATATGTTTTTTGTATTTTCAGGCTCACAAGCAATTGTCAGTCTTGTTTTGAAGATGGAACTTCCCTCTGAAAAGTTTTCTTTGGTGGCGGAAGAGGTGCATATAATTTTGGTCTAAAATGTATTAGTTCTCGATGTCTAAGTTCACTGAAAAGCAATGATATTTTACTCCTTTAGGATTCAGCAGATCTACAAAAGGATGAATCTCAAGAAACACTGAAACGTATTACAGATCTTGTAAATGATACTTTCTCTTCTGAAGGTACATACAGTATATCTGTGTCTGAGGAAGATGTGCTTGCTGCAATTGACAGTGGCAAATCTGATGGAGGCCCTCATGGCCGACACTGGGTTTTGGATCCTATAGATGGTACTAAAGGGTAAATATGTAGTTCTAGCTTGAAATTTTTTGTCTCCAATTTTTATATATGATATAATGTCAATGCTTTGTACAAGTTAATCATAGATGTCATTTGATTAGGTTTGGAATTAAAGCTTTAGACATTATTCTAAATCTTAAATCACTCCACTAGATGATATATCTTTATGGAACTATAATATGTTGCCATATGATGTATGCTTCTTTGCAAACCTATTTTCCCTTGGTTGGTTAATTCTTTTTTATACTTCTAGCACTGTATTTGAACAATTTGATGTGTATATCCTTGTTTGCTAATATTAATTGGTATTAGTTTACCCAGACCTATTAGAAATCCTACTATCCATATAGATGTAGTTAATGATTGCTCGTTTAGGAGAACTATAACTATCAGTGGCACATCAACCTATGATTTGATATGGCATGCATGACATCATGGTAACGATGCTCGTTTAAGACCTAAGTGACTAGGCTTCGAATGACAAAAACCACATTTTTGCTTGTAGGGGTAAGGATGCTTTTACTTATTGTCTTATGGTTGGGTCATCCTTTTCTTTTATATGAATCCATGCCTTCATGTAATTCTATGGGCTGCTTTGAAATCTGCATGTATAATTGTCTTAATCGGCGGATGTGCTTTTTTAATTTGTTGCATCCAAGCTTTCATCACACTTGTAGTAGATAATGATTTTTATGTACAAATTACAATATAGTTTTAAAGAGCTTATGTATGACATTAGATAACTTACAATATAGTTTTTCAAAGAGCATATGTATCTTTGTTGGTTATGATATAGTTTTTTTAAGTCAGTTTGATGGACCTATCGCTACAGAAAAACAGCAAGGACAGTGGATCTTGATATTTACGGACATACCTAACTAGAGAATGAAGGGAGAGACATAGGACGTATGAACATACCAGAAATGATTATAGCATACTTGCAATACAGTGCTAGAGAAGTCAATAGAAAGCCAATATATTATGTCCTTAACAAGGGGTGTAGATCATAAAAATGTTGTTTGATATTATATGTTTGCAATATGAGATAATCAACACTGTATTACCCACAGTCCTGATGATCTATTATATTTTATTTCTAGTATGCTAGTAACATGATGAAACTGCAAACATCACAAAAAGAAAAATAGGCATATGAGGCTAAGGATGTTATGCAGTCAAAGCCTGGACCATTTCTTTTCCTTCCTAAAACTAAATTAAGTCCGGCAATAATTGGAATTGTTTCTGAAGGATGGAGGAAATTGTAGCTTTTTTTCTGATAATGATGGTTGTACTATTATTGTTTTTATCTCATCCCAAGCAATACATCCATGATTAACAGGATGAACTTCTTTTTATTTATGATTTATTGCCAAAAATATTCCATTTCCAGTCTCATGGTCTTTCATCCAAATTTAGGTTCGTACGGGGAGACCAATATGCAATTGCTTTAGCATTGCTTGATGAAGGAAGAGTCGTGTTAGGTGTTTTGGCATGTCCAAATCTTCCTTTTACATCTATTGCTAATCTTGATGGACACTCTTCGGAAAATCAAATTGGCTGCCTTTTCTCTGCTCAAACCGGTTGTGGTGCCTATATGCAGTTGCTACATGAACCTTCGGCAGCAAAGGTAGTGTTTTCCTTGATGTTTTATTTCATCGAGGTTTACTTTCTGCCTGACGTTTTTCCCACCCCATTCAGATATCTGTCTGCACTACCGAAAATCCTGCTGATGCATCATTCTTCGAGTCGTATGAAGCAGCTCATTCCCTGCATGACTTGTCGAGTGCAATAGCAAAGGTACTAAGAACATATTAATTTATGTATTCGAATTAGAGTATCTATAGCAAATTAAACTTGATGATACTTGTTCAAATAGAAACTCGGTGTCCAAGCACCACCAGTTAGAATAGACAGTCAGGCCAAATATGGTGCTTTGGCGAGAGGAGATGGTGCAATATACCTACGCTTCCCACATAAAGGATATCGCGAGAAGATATGGGACCATGCCGCTGGTTCTATTGTTGTCACAGGTAGGGACAACCTTCAGGTTCATGAACTGTTCTACTTGGTGGATTCTTAGATACTACATCAGATTAGTGTAAGGATTTATTAGATAAGTCTTCTTCCAGAATGCATCATGTTCTTTAGTTGTTACCTAAGCCGAAAGCTTAATTTCTTCAGATCGTTACAATTCCTTCATATATTTTGCAGAAGCTGGTGGTATCGCGACAGATGCTGCTGGAAACAATTTGGATTTCTCAAAGGGGAGGTACCTCGATCTTGATACGGGCATTATTGTCACAAACAAGAAGCTGATGCCATCACTGTTGAGTGCAGTACAAGAGGCCATAAGAGAACAAACCCAATCTGCCTCCCATATGTAGTCCACTCTAATGGTATCACCCATCTTCTGCCAGCTTTCTGTGTCTTTTTATTACATTCTATCTTAACAAATGACCATTGTTTGAATTACTCGAACTTAAAACAATGAGTGTGCCAGTTCAGACTTTCCCATCTTGCACATCGATGTTCCTAACCGGCCCTTTGAACCATTTCCTGGCATCAAGAACCCACCACAGCATTACAAGAGTCAGACAAATACCCAAAGCAACGGGTGCATAATTGAAGGTATCCCATTTGATAGGATACAGTGTTGGCAGCAGGAAGACTGAGCAAGTATAGCAGATCCACAGGAACGCCACCAAGCAAATGGGTCTTGTTGCTCTCCCCAGATAGAATGGACCAGGTTTGAACCTCTTCTCTGCCATCACCATTCTTGCAAATATCGGCACTGCATAGCCACCAACCCATCCAACTGTGCAAATGGAAGTGATGGCAGTGAACACCACATTGACTTTAAGGATCGGGAGGCCGAGCAGGATGCAAATGGCTGCACACAGCCATACTGCATTGGCAGGAACCTTGTGCTTGGGGTGTATTTTCCGCCATACCGACGAGAACGGGATTCCTTTGTCCCTCGATAATGCATACACCTGCGAGTAGTAATAGTAGTGATAATCATGTTTCGTCTTACTTTGATTGAGTAGTAGGATAATCAAAGGCTGAAAGTGGATAATTTCTTGTGAATTTATATTTTTGCATCGATTATACATTGATGACTTACCACTCTGGCAGCACTTGTGGTAATCGAAAGGCCGCCGAAGAAGAAGGAACCCCAGATGACAAACAGCAAGACAATGGCTCCGGCAGAGTTATTGTACCTCCCATGGAATGCATCATACAGAATCTGTGCCGGCACAAAGGCACCAGCCGTCTCATTGCCAGTATCATACAGGTAATTAAAGTCCTGCAATAGGAAACATCCTCAACATGATGAACAAGTCAAGCCATGGCACCAATAAGAGTATCAGAGTTGGAAACAATACCTGGATGCTGAAAGTGAGAGCTAAGATGTATGCCCATCCGAACACCGAGATGATTCCGATACTTGACAGAATAGCGATCGGACCATTCCTATCTGCGCCTTTCGTTTCCTCCGTTAGATGGGCGGCGGCATCGTATCCGTATAGCGAATACTGGCTTACAAGAATAGATAAGATGACTGCATATGCCTTGCTGGTAATACCGGTCGAATCTGGGGCTGTTTCGAAGTGAGTGAACACATAGGAAGCAGGCTTGGTGGTGAGAGACACCAAGGGAAGCATGATCACTATAACTGAACCCCCAATCACCTGCATCATCATTACCATCCATATGATCAATGTTGGAACACGTTTTATGCAATTTCAGATGCTACAAAATGGAATAAGATCTGCAAATAGACACTAAGAACACAGTACACATCATTACATCAGGTAAACACACGGTAGACATCAACCTTATCTGATTACATGCCAATCTGCAGCTCATATAAGATGCCAGAAAAAAGCAATGGAGTGGGACAGATGAGTCTACCATGTGGATAAAACATTTACCTGCCACCATATAGAGATTATATCGATTATGGCAATGACTTCCAATGCAAATGTGTTGAGGACTGCCCATATAATTGTAAGACAAATGTACATAGCTAGAAAGACTCCTCGAGGTGCAAAATATCCACCACCTTTGTTTGTCCCAGTGCATAATAGAATGATACTTTGCAGTACTTGTGACCCTGCATAAGCCTGGGACAACAAAATCATCTTCAGATTAATAGCAATATCGGTAGACTGACTACTTCCGATCTTAAGCAGAATTAAGTACTTTTAGATGATCAAACCATTGATTTTGCATTGTTCTTGTAGAGAGCATGATCGAAAGAGTCTACTGGTAGTGTTGCAATTACATAGATATGACAAAGAAAAATTTTAGATTATCAAACCTGAGTGCCTATTCCAGCAATAAGTCCAATAGCCTCCAACCAAGCACAACACCATGATGCAAAGGGACCCCATACAGGTCCAGCCAAATGAGCAGCCCAAAAGTACAGTGAACCAGTGGTCTGTCAAAAATTAAAATTAGCTTAACGAGTGTTTTCGCCAATAGAATATTGCATATAGTTCCGCAAATTTGCCGTATTACACTGAATATTCCATATGATTATCCTACTATAAATCAGGAGTGTTTTCAAACTGAGAGACAATGGGTTGATGAGAAATATACCAAACTTCAGCTTCATTATCAACCTTCAGGCAAATACTGCTGAGGTTTGGATGAGCATGATGGAGCCCATGCAATCCAATTAGGAAAATAGTACATCACATTTGGTTTAAATAAATGAAGATCTATAGTATCACAAGATGCAAAAATTGAGTGATAAATCGTGTATCATATGTCCATTGAGATTTGAAGCTGCATAGAACTTTGTCATATTATTTTGGACAAGTCTGAACATGATTTCCCTACTACATCATACATTTTACATGCATGTGTTCCACAAAGGCTTATTAGCTATTGTTGTTATTTAGTTAATGTTTGTAGATTCACTTTTAATAAGGCAGCCTAGCGATGAGTTTCCACCCATAATTGTCATACAGGGAGTAGAAGATTTAAGTAGCTTTACCCACATTGCAAAGTGGTTGTTTCTGCAACTCAAACACATATCAACCAAGAAGACAGGCTGCAATGAGGTTATAGATTCTAAGTGGCAGGACAGCAATACTTTGTTAAACTAGCCCTTTGTTACTAGTCTTCAGCAGTAAATGACCAGCCACCACATTTGCAATGGAAATGACCATAGAGCAAATGCCTACATTCCTCACAAAAAGAAGGGAATACAATCTAAATAAACCATTGGAAATTAATTCATGGATTCATTGCGCATTCGATTCCCAAAGGGGAGGAGATCATTTCCTTTATTACAGATTAGATTGCAGCAAAGCCATGCATCCATGGTAAGCAGAGACTTAAGATTAGATCAAAACAAGTGAAAGATGTGACAAACAAGTTGGTTCAGAGCAGGTAATTGAAGGGTCTCATAGTACCACTCTTCAGGCTAGATCCTTAATGGTTGAAAATATAAAGAACACCATAGGCAAGATCGAAGAAGAAACCCGCAAAGATCATGATCTGAGACCTCAGAACGAGCACTTACAGGGAAAGAGGAGCAGATCTCCGCCATGGCGATGCCGACGAACCAAGTGAAGAAGGAGACGACGACCCACCCCCAGACGAGACTGGCCGGCCCTGCGTACAGCAAGCTCGAGCCGTAGAGCGGTGTGATCCCCGTAAACAGCGTCATCGTCGAGAACGATATCGCCAGCGTCTTGAACAGAGTCTGTACACCGAAGCAGACAAGGCTCCTGAGACTCACCATCTCTGCAAGAGAGATGAGGAGGAAAGTGAGGACGGAGACTCACCATCTCTCTCCTGAGCTCCTGCTTGTAGCCGAGCTCGTTGAGGCGCTTCTCCCCCGAATCCATCTCCACCATGTTTGCTTCCCTTCTCTTCGTTCTGCGCCTCTGTTTCGGATTCTTGGATGGAAGCTTTAAAGTCTCCTCCCGCGGATGATAAATGGAGGAAGAGGAGCAGCAGAGGTCGGATCAGAGCACAGAGCGTGGGAACGCAGCCTCTCCGATCTCTCTACCGTGGTTGACTTACATAGCGATCGAACGCTTTATTTTGCGTGTTGCGGCTCTGAAACATAAAAGCAAACAGCTGTCGTCGGTCAGTTGACTAATATGACATCGCTTCCGCTAAAAGTAGAGATATAAGAAGAGAAAAAAATTCCAACTACTAAGATTGCGATCGGGAAAATGAGATGCGATGGATTTAAAATTACAGCACGCATTGACCGGGTTTGATTGATACCGTGGTTCTATTGGGCGTGGGAGACGGCAGCGGTGAAACGTGTGCGCGGGAAGCCCAGCCACGTAATTCCAATAAGAAATGAGTTGGTTGACCGGGGAAGATCCTCGAAACCCGTTTATTCTTCCGAGATCCGATAAGATCTTCTCCGTAACAGTATACGAATCTCGTCTGTTGGAATCCAGTTTCAAGATCCTCGCACAATATTCGGCGCATCTCCAGATGCAACTGTAAGCGCACCCACCTTGTCGACTGCGACGACGGGGCCCCACTGGTGGATGCCGCAACGGACCCGCTCTCCGGTGGGGGTTTGGCCGCCGCCATTTAGGACTGCTGACTGCTTGGCTGCGGAACCCACCTGCAAGCCGCCATTTGCAGAGCATGGTGAAAGAGATCGAGAAAGCGGTGTCGTCTGCTTCGCACGTGATTGCCGTAACATACTGCTTTATAAAGCACAGTCTTCATACAGAATAAGTTCGAGGTCAGAAGTGTCATGATAATGTGGGACACTGTAAGGTAGAGGGAACCGTGAATTATTGATACACGAGGAAAGAGACCATACGATGTCACACAGGCCTGCTTCTTCTTTTAACAAGTTCTTCACTGAACTCCCACAGCGTTTTGCCTATGATTTCATCTCTTGCTTTTCCTGAAGGCATTGCCTCATTGCAGTCCGCAAAATATTTCCCGGTAACATCTTTTACTTGCGGATGTAATGCTAGATAGCAAGTAGTTGCTGCTCCCTGCAAAGACGGAATGCTTGCTCACTCAAAGATCAGCAATTGCAGAGAAAAAAGCATTATAACTTTCCAAGTAAGAATCATTGAAATCGATGACATACCTCGGGTATGCTCTTTAAAATTGGTTTTGCAAGAGCGGCAAGTGATTTCATCAAGGCTACAAAGAAAAAAGGAAACGATTTATTCCAAGTTAATTAGAGACTCAACAAGAAGATGAGTAATAAGTACATACTAGGGTTCATCTCTATATGACGAACGAGGTTCGTAAATATTACTCCTGGGTGCAGAGAGTTTACTGTCACATTGGATCCCTCTTCCTGATGATGATAATTAAATGGAGCTTAATGTATCCACTCTTGATTAAAGTCATGCAAGATACTTCAAATTGCAAATATATATCTTTGTTGTACTTCACAGCAATTGGATAATTGATGCAGACCTGTAGATGCTTAGACAGCTCATTTGCATGAAGTATGTTAGCTAGTTTTGAGTGAGCATATGCGATGAAAGGTTTGTACCTGTGGCAAGAGTTTTGTATCAAGTAAGCCAATTGAAATGTGATCAGCTGCTAAGATAAGTTATCCAATAGGAAGCTAACTTTGATTGGTCATTTATCTTATCAAGGTTGAAGCAAGATCCATCACTTGTTCGGTGAGCATTTGATGAAACATTGATTATTCTTCCCTGCACTCCCATTTTTTTGGCTGTGGCTTTCATCTTGTCCAGCAGGAGATTAGTGAGCAGAAAGTGTCCTGTGGCATTCAGAAACATTAGGACACATCTTTGATATTTTAAAGAAGCAAAAATTATTTTTTACTGTTTGCTTACATCAATAGTATATACCTGATCTGGCTGTTCTCAAGATAATATAACCTTGCTTTTTAATGAGCACTGATGATAATCATGCCTTGATGATGATCATCCAGAATATATAAAGCTTACTGTGGAATGGATTGCAACTGTCACTATTCCTGTATGATAACTAAGCTTATCTCTCATTTTGTGAATTACCACAATACAGGATTTTAGTTATAAAGGAATGCACTTCAAATCTATTTGGTTGCTATCATCATGGACATAGCAAGTCCTGACTACATGTCTTTCTGTTGCTTTCCAAAGTCGCCTGTCATATAAATAACTTATCCTCCAACGTATTATGATCCTTCTCACAGATCTTTTCTTTTGGACCATCAGGTAAATCCTCTCAGAAGAATCATGGGATGGCACTCACATTTATTTATCTCTTATGTATATATATAGTACTTCACTCATGCCGCATTGTATCCAATGCACCTTCCATAAGAAGTGTTATAGCTACTGAGAAAGACTCGCAAGTAATATGAAATAGTTGGAGAAATGCAATGTGGAATTAGGAAAGCAACTTGCTTGATCGAAACAAATACCTAGGTGATTTGTGGCAAACTGCAACTCAATTCCATCTCTAGAAAGCTGGAAAGGGCAAGCCATGATTCCTGCATTATTGCTGATACGAAGTTCTAAAGATAAGAATGTTACTTTGTGAGCTAATTAAATGGAATCAAATTTCATAAATTAAATTTAGTATAAAGGTCAAAAGTTTCATGCTATTTTACATAATAGCGGCACCAGTCAGAGATTATGCTTACATAAGTATGTTCAAATGCTTGTGCGATGAATTGAAAGATCGAGCAAACGAGCCAACAGAGTCGAGGGAGCTGAGATCCATCTCCATAACATGAAGTTCTGCACTCGGATTCTGTTCAAGGAGGCTTTGTTTCACCTTCAACCCACTATCCAGAGTTCGTGATGGTATAATGACTTTGGCACCTCTGAGCGCTAGTACTCTTGCTGTCTCTTTTCCGATGCCATTTGTTGCTCCTGCAGTACATAAAATAGATGGTAGTTATTTGTGGCGTTAATCAAATCGAAAATATGCTTTGCTAATATTCTGATTATTTTCAGAGGCAATTCATTAGTCACAAGTTATGCTTGCATGGTCAAGTATTCAAACACTAGGGTGAGAATTCTCATGCTCTTTGGAGCAATTCGTCGGTCACTTTGTCCGCATGGTCTACGGTACCAAGGTACGTCGGACAAGACGACATGAAATAACAGTTCTGGCTTCAAATCAAACCTTCCTTGGGTTTAGCAATGATGACAAAGGAGTGTAAAATTCTAAAGAAGAAGGAAAAGGCAGTAGCGAACGATGATTTGGCTACAAAGTCACCAACTTTACTTATTATAAGCCCTTTGGTTCACTTGCAGTTCATTTTCGTGAAGCATGCTTCTAATAAGTTTGGAACCGTCTTCATTTTCAAGAGAAGGATAAATTCACAGGACACTACTGATAGAGCTGCCATGGCAATCCCTATCGAGAGGAGGAGAAGGAGCTCAAGAACCTGTGACGATCGCGGTAAGTTGACTTGCATCAATTCCTTCTGTGACCTGCTCGGCGGTCGAAGATGAGCCAAAGCCAGAAGGACCTGCTCGCCAAAGCCATCCGAGAAGACCCATCTCCGGCTCTCTGTTCTTCTTTAGCAACTACAGAATCGGTGTAGTACGACGCACATAGCGTGGTAGGACAGCAAGCTAAGAGACAGCAACCAGAGAGAGGTGGGCTGTTGTTAGCCATAGAAGTGGCGGCGTTCGGATGCGTGGATTTATGGATCAGAGCTAAGGTAGCTTGTGGATTCCAAGAGCCCCGGCTTCGAATGATGTGGATTGGGGCCTCGAGTCAATCTTCAATAGCAATCCAGCAGAATGGCAGCATATCAAAGTGGTTGTGAGAGTACAAGTTCAAGGGCATTTGCACGAACACCGGACGAGCTCGAATCATTTGCTCGTGCTCGGACTTCATCATCACATCGTGAGAGTCGCGGATGACATCGTCAAACAAAAAGTGAGCTATTACATGACAAAGATGATATAAATGCTCAGCAATGGGAGGCCCTCTAAGATAAACTTTTTTTTTTCTTAATTAAGAAATGCTGTAGCTGTGTCACAAACTCTGTCTTAACATTCTTAATCATTAAAAAAAAAACCAATAATAACCATGAATAATCATCATTTCTTACATATATATCAATATATGTTTGTGCACATCTATCCTATCAAAAGCTTCCCAATTCAATTTGGAACTGAACAAGGTGTTCATAGAAAGAGCCTAAAAGAACAATAGCATAAAGTAGGACATTTATCTACAGTAAAAACAAAAAAAAATGTAGCAGATAATCACTAAGACCACTAGTAAATAATAGAAATCATGACAAGTAATGACACCTTAAAATTGTTTTCCATATTCTGTTTCGTAATCACAATCATCAATCACAGAACACAGACTATCATCCAAATAATAATTGTTTTTTTTTTGTTTTTAGAAACACAATTCAAAATTTTGAAAGCCCACAAAACAGGCCCTTGATGAGTTAAATTTTCTTATCCATTGTTACCTATGGTGCTACCTTCATCAAAATGAACAAAATTCAGCAAATACAGACTACGCCGAAAAAAAGGAGGTCTTGCTTATACTAAAAATACATATTCCAGTGACAACTCTAGCTGATACAAACTACTAGGTTTGAGATGTGCATATTTAACTTGAAAGCTCCATCATTGGTAATAAATAGCAATCCTGATGATGAAACTGGAATATGAATTGTGGCAGCATGATGATTTTCAATGTTGAAGCCACACATTATCCAGCACAATAGCTGATTCTTGATCCTCATATTTCATGAATAAGCAAAAGAGACAAGAAAATTTTTAATGAGATTATTGGATGCATCCTGTATCTTGGGTTCTTCAGTTCTACTGGGATGTAGATCTTGTAATTTGATCTGAAGCTTCACACTGATGCTTCAATAAAACAGTAGCTTTTTTTTTAATATTAACAACAATGGAGTACTTGCATGGGCTCTTTTTTTTTAATATTAACTCAGCATGTTGTGCAACCACTATGGTGTTCTGGCACTCTAGCTACCATTGAAATTTACAGAACTAGTTATGGCAGCCTTCTTCCATTTCCCATCTACACAGAATCAGGATTTTCTCTACTCTTGGAACCGGGATTTGCATCTTAATTTCCTTATGATATTTCTTCCAAAGGTTTCGTACTCCTTCGGCTTCTCAGAATAGCCTCCGACTCAATCATCAGCCTCACATACCCTTCCCTCACTCCCAGAAGAGGGTGCCTCTCAATAGCAGTTTCTGAGCCAGCACAGTATGCTTCTTTAAGGACAACAAAACAAGTCTTGCTCTTCAGCAAGAGGTAAAAAATATGGGGATGGCGTTCAAACACCATATGAAACTTTTGCGGCAAACCTAAATGCTTCTTGAGGCAAAGCAGCCTCCGCCTTTCAGCAGAGTTATCTACAAAGAGAGAGAGCAATTCGTGAAGAACCCCAGCCACCCGCTTCTCTGAAATATCACTATTCGGATCCAAGCTTGAAAAAGTTTCATATGGGGAGACATACTCGACCTTCTGAAATTCTTCTAACCACTGCTCAATCTTCCGCTTTAAGCGAAAACCTTTAGAAGGGAAAAGAGGAAAGTCAATGACTGATGGTGGCGAGTGAAGGATCCCATTTGACTTCATTGCATTCCTTTGTAGCACAGAAAACACCTGCTCATTTGAACAAATTGATGCACTCAATCCCTGCTCTCCATCTCCCATATCCACGATCTGAAAGTATCCTTTTGAAATCTCTTCTGAATTTTTAAGATAATCTTCGGGCAATCCGAGATACCATAACATACCTTGGACTGTCCTCAAAGGCAGACTCCTCTCCCTCGACATAAGGATCAATCTCCTCAATCTGTCGACAATCTCTGACCGATGGGCCGCATAGACTTTACACTCTCTGTGATGAAGATCAGCAGCTTCTTGAGTGAGCTTGAACCATGGGAGGTTGTACTTTGGACTGGTGAACTCCTCGAAAACAGCTGGGTACCTCCTGAGAAATCCTGCAACCTTGCCAGAGACTTCTAGAATGCGGTTCTGCTTGGAGACGGCAGAGATGGGGATACAGCCAGTGGGTTCTTTGGAAATAATGTTCTTGAGGGAGATGAGTGGTCGGAGCTCCTTGGATTTGAGAAGGATGTTAACAGAATCATATAAAGGATCCTTCATCCATTTCATTTTCACATCCACATAGTTGGACTTTTGTGTGTGTGAGAAAGCCAAATTTTTGGGATAACATAACACCAGTTCTCTAAACCTTCTATTGACAAGCAGCAGAAGCATCTTTGTCCTACAGGAATTCAGTATTTGGGTTTACAGATCAAGCAAACCTCTTAGTATTGGTGATAAACCAAGTCTACTGCAGGCGAGGAAATTACATGAGTTTCTGATGAGAAGCTACCTGATCGTTGTCTCCAATGAGAAAGGTTAGATTTTGATGGGTTTTTCTACGATTTTAAGTTCAGAACAATCTAATCTATCAACCAGCAAGCAGAGAACGCAAAGCTTTTTCCGAAGAATAAGATGAAGATTGGAGTTTGAGACTTTATACCATTAGGGCTTAGGGTTTTTGGAGTTTCCAGAATCAAATACAAACAAAAGGAAATGGAGTCAACAGTCTTACCTCTCTCTCTAGCGCTCTGTCTCTCTCCTATGGAAACGTAGGAACCTCCTCGAATCCCTCCTCAAAACATCTCTTCCCTCTTCCTATCCTCCTAGAAGACAGTCGAAGGCCGGAATAAGTAATGGCCGGGACCCGGTGGCAGGGACCGAGGACGCGCTACAGGGCGACTGACGAAGGAAGATTTGGTGGCAGCTTTGACATGAGCCAGCGGAAAAGAGAAAGATGGCGACAGCCAGAAAGGGAGAGAGGAAGCCGTGAACCAGCGGGGGAGGGAAGGCGGGCGCTGATGTGCTGCGTGACGCGGCGAGAAGGCGGGCGGCGTACGGAGAAGAGAGACGGCGAGAAAGTGAGAGGGGCTGAAGCACGAGAGAGATGAAGAGAGGCGGAGGCGCGAGAGCGACAAAGGACGGCGGCGTCGACGGAGAACGGTCGGTTTGGTTTCTGACATGGAGGGCAGATTTGTTACCTTATTAAAAAAAACATTTATTTTATAGTTTACAGAAGACGTGTAAATTATATTTAATTTATAACGAATTTTCGGAAAAGACTTTTTTTTTTTTTTGAAAATTTCTGTAGAATGATTTTTTTTTAGTATGATAAAGATATATATATAATATATTATCAAACTCATCACCACTTTTATCGTCCATCGTTACTTGTAGCCCTCAGCATAAAGATGCACTCATATATATTTCAAAATGCTTAAGCTGAAGTTGATAGTAGTACACTTATGAGACCCTTATAAGTCAATCTTAATCCTGCCCACTTTCGATGTGGGACTAATCAGGGGTGTTACAATCACTGGACTCGTCACGGCATGAAACGACCACTGGGCTACGCCTCACATGCACTTTCGATGGTGAGGGGGCTCGAGTAGGAAAGGGCTACTCGTAGACGGAGTCAGAGGACTCGTCACGACATGAAGCCACCATTGGGCTACGCCTCACATGCACTTTCGATGGTGAGGGGGCTCGAGTAGGAAAAGGCTACTCGTAGACGGAATCAGAGGACTCATCACGGCATGAAGCCACCACTGGGCTACGCCTCACATGCACTATGCTAGGGTTTGATCTGGGTTATGTCGTCAAGCCTTTGAGTGGGGGTGATTGTAATACCCTTGATTAGTCCCACATCGAAAGTGGGCAGGATTAAGATTGACTTATAAGGGTCTGATGAGTGTACTACTATCAACTTCAGCTTAAGCATTTTGGTCAGTGGTTTAGACTAAACAAAGTTGATAGGCCAGTTAGCCCATTAGGCCTGAGTCATTATATACGTCTTACGTAAAAGTTGAGCGTCTTTCACCTATAACTCTTATGCAAGGATCGATCATCTTCTTCCATCATGTGTAGATCATCCTTAGTGATTTTGAGTAAGTAATATTGTTGTAAGTTGCTGGATTCGGATGGAGACAATGATCGACGACCGGGGTTGAGTACAGACAAGATAAAATGATTATGTTGAAGAAAATTATTATTTTTGATTTTTTTAAATAGGGATGCTTTGCAAAAAATTTTAAAAAGTAATTCTTTTAAAGGAATTTACACTTTAATTTACTCTAATTAATAATATAAATAAATATATTTTAAAAAATATTCCTTTAAAATATAACCTTATATCTGATGATAAATATTTTCAAAAAGTCGATGCAAGTATAAAATCGCTAATATTTTTATAAAATAATAAATCGAAGTTTTAATAACAAAAAAAAATATTCCATTGGATTGTTTGGTGGCGTATAGAAAAAATAAATGAGATTAAACGACACGTTTAGCAAGATTATTGATAGAACACATAATGTGTTATGAAAACAAGTTGGCTTGACGTTCCCATGAATCCAACTCACATCATGCGAATTGATTTGTTCATTGTAACCCAATCCCAAATTGAAATATACTCAAACAATCGGGTCGGATTAAGACAAATTTTGACCCGGAATCCAATTCTAGTTGTGGCTCTTTGACTGCTTCTTCACAGACATCAAAAAGTAGAAAAGATAAGGTTATTATCATTGAATTTTTAAAGATGTCTTTTGTGATCATTTAATCAATCATCCGATCCTTTAAATATTTAAATCCTACACATATTTTACTAATCTTAGAATCTGCCCGATAAACTTAAATTAATTACCACTACTTATAATTATCAATGAGTTTAAAATAGATTAAGATGTTAAAGTAATTAAACTACTTCTTATCACTTTCACCTTCTACTTGATTGTTTATTTAGAAAGTATAAATATGTAATATTATTGATGTTAGTTGGAACTTTAACTAATGATATTAACTATATATATATATATATATATATATATATATGCTTTTCAGCATTAATGTTTCACTTTTTCTAATATTTTCCCATTTTTCTGCAGTATAGACTTATAAATATGATTTAATTGTTGAAAAATCTTGGCATTACACAGAAGGCTTGGCAATAGATGGCAAGTTATTCCCAAAAAAATAAAAAAAGGAAAAAGACTAAGAGTTCATGGCATGATCTGAGATGCCAAGCAATCTGAGTGTGATGCATAATAAATTGAAGGCCAAAAGATTTTAATGAAGCACATGCATTGTTGTCCTGGCCATCAAGTTTAATGGGCAACAAAACAATCACATTCCCCAGCTTCCCTGCCACCAGGCTAAGGCTGCAAGTCCTGGACACACCCACATGCCACTGCCCTGCAACAAGTGCATCTTTCCCTGGCTCCTTCTCCTTCTCACAAACTGGTGTCTTCTTCATGTTTGCTGGATCTTGAAGCCATCTTAAATAGCAGTCAATTTCTGACAAAGATAACTTGGGATCCCCTCACAGTACAAATGCCTCCCCCTGCACCCACTGGCTGTTCTAACAATCATTGTACTCCATGGAAATTTGGTGTCTGGGGCAAGAAGAACTGAGCATGATTGTGTGACTGTAACCATGGGGGATTTTGTAAGGATTCATGGGTAGCTTAAGTTCATGCATTAGAGTTTGATACGGGTAAAGTAGGCCAAGTTCCAGCAGACCTGCACATGGGAGCACAGAGAAGATCAAATGATTGTGTTGGTGTTGTTGTTTCTGGGTGATAAACTTCAGGTGTTGTAGGATCAAATCAAGATGAGTCCACATTTTTTAATCTATGCAAAGTGTTATCCTAATGAAATGGTTTTCCTCTTTTTAAGTTGGAAAGATTAGAGGAGGAGCCTGAGTTTTTGACCAAATCAAGGACAGCAACTGTCACAGAGAAGATGCCCCAAGGTAGGGATAGTGACCACCATCATGTTCTAAATTCCAACACACACTGGTTGCATGTAGGGTGTCGAAGAACTTTACAGCTGCTAAAGATAAACACAATATGAACCTTCTCCCTCTCCTGCTGTGGCCAAACAAGAGATTATGAGAGCTTTATACCAAAGACATGATAATGTAGGGAAGTTCTTACCCACCTTTTTGTCAAAGTATTTGCTTTGATCATCTATGTTATGACCAGAAATTGGGATCTTACAGCCAAGTTCAGATGCTGTGTTCTGGCTCCACAGGAAAGGTGAAACAAAGGCAATGATGCCAAAGCATAAAACTAGACTGTCCAGCTATTTGCTTTTGGCTCAGCCACCTGCACAATTAGCCTGTGATAAGCAATTGCTAATAAGTTGGATACCACCACACTAAACAGGGACTTTGAAGGATCCACTAGGCCAATTTGAATTTGGCTAATATGGTTTTTATAGGACTCAGGAACAATTATGAGCACCATCCTTGTACTGCATGACATGTTAGCTTGGCTGTATTATTCCAATCTCATTAGCTGGAATGAGCAAATGTAGGAGATAGATATGCTAGTTGAACTTCAAGTGGCAGACCACATGATTGAAGAAGACAGCAAATAGATAATATACTTCCAAATGACAGAACCAAGAAGGAAATGAAGAACTCAGACAGCAGATAGCAGCTCTCATGGCTGGAACTCTGAACACAAGCAAAAATCATATGACAGACAGCATGTATACAAGATTTAATTTACAGGACAGCAGCAAGAGAGGTCCTCATTGTACCTATTTCCACAAAACGAATTCTGACTCGCAAAGAACAGCATCCATCCACTTAGATCATGCAAAACAATTAACTCAACACAAAATCCATGAACGTAAAGTGCTAGAACTCTATGTAATCAACAGAAAGCGCTATGTCTTCTTTCGGTTATCACGATTGGGTAACAGCAAGCACCTCAAATTGAATCACTAGAGCTCTTGGTCTTGTATCTGTAGAGGAGTTTCTTCTTTTTGGAGGTGGTGTTGTCCACTGTGAGAACCACCTTGCCAGCCTCTCCAATTTTGAAGCTGTCCTTCACCACAGGCTCATCGGTCACGACCATCTTCCTCGACTTCTGCACAATCACTGTGTATCCGTCTTCGGCACTAGGCACAAACTCAGCACCATAATTCACGTCCCAACCCAGAACACGAAGCTCCCAAACAAGAATGCATGACTGTAAAGTAGCAGTTCAATCAAGACCACAACACAACCTAAACGTTAAGTTGTTTGGAAGTGGAAAAGAAGAACCTCCCTACCTCAGCAACTGGAATCTCGATCGCTTGCTTTGTTGAGGGCTTAATGGTTGTCTCTATAACAGCATCAGCGGTGCTGAAATCTGTGTCATTCTCCTTGCTCAGGCCTCCAAATTGAACAGGGACTTGCTCGGGAGCTATGTATCTAAAAGATTCGATAACACAAGAAATTTAAGATTAGCAGCCGTGTTATTTACTACAATAAAGGAATTATTGACAGATCTCTACTAACTTGAAAAGAGTCTCCGCTGATTTAGATGGCCCTGCAAAGACGAACTTGCTTTTGGTCCTCTGTGTAAAGAATGGGCTAATCATCCTGTTGAAAGCCAGGTACCACCAGGGGACATTGATGAACACCTAACAAAGACAGCAGCTCATTGTTACGCTTTCGATTGTATTATGTAGGATCATTAGCCATAACCATCAAGAATTTTTCGTGAATTCATCATAACTGTTCTCAAGGCACCCATCAAAATCCAACGTTTGATAGCAACATCATTGGAATCAGAATCTTTTGCTTAGATTCAACTTAGATTAACAGTCTAAAGATCTAATCACGTTGGTAACTTTAAAGTAATGGAGGATCGAGAGTTCAAGTTACCTGCTTGGCTGCAAACTCGGGATAGTTATCTTGAAGCAGGTCGAGAGCCTGGCGGAGCTCCTTCTTTGCCAGGCCAATGGAATTTTTGAGATCAGTGACCTGCACCATTGTTGAAACCCCTTCCGGCTTGAAGTCAAGCAAGTTTCTTATACCCTTCTCCAGGTACTGAATCCTCCACCTCAAGAACCGCTTCCTCTTCTCCTCATCGGCGAAGGCTGCTGCGTAAAGCTCCTTGTTTTGGAACTGCCCGTAGACGTTGTAGCACACGGGGTGGCCCTCCTTGTCGACTCCATGCATGAAGACCACCTTCTCCATCTCCAGGACGCCGAGGTCCTCTTCGAGGAGTGCCTCGATGCCGAACTCCTTCCTCCAGAGCACGGCGTTCTTGAGCATGGCCATGGCTTCCTTCACCTTGAAGTCCCGGGCGCGGAGGAACTTGAGGAGAACGGTGTCGCTCCGCTCGTCGCCGAGGAGCGGGACGCCCCAGATGAAGACCTCCTCCGGCGCCGGTGGAGTCGGCTCGGTGGGAGGAGCAGGTGACTTTTGCTCTTCCTTCTCCGCCTTCGGCGCTTCGGCCGCCGGTGCCTCGGTCTCTGCGGGTGGTGGAGCGGCGACGGGGACGACGGTTTCCTCTATGGCTTCAACGGTCTTGGCGCCGTCATCATCCACCACGATGGCCTTCTCCGCCGTAGGAGACGCCGACGCCGGCGCCGGCTTCTCGGCCTCTTCCTCCTTGGCCGGTGGGGCCGACTCCTCCGCCATGGCCTTCTGGGGTTCTTCTATCGGGGTAGCAGCGGGTTCCTCTTCAGCCTTGGCCTCCTTCGCCACGGCCTTCTGGGGCTCTTCCACCGGGGTAGCAGCCGGTTCCGCTTCAG